CTGAAACTCATCCAGTGAGAAACGTTCCGCGGTGCAAAAATAAGTGCGATTAAAATGCGTTAATTTTTTTAACGCGTTAATTTTTGTGTAATTAATTAATCTTAATTAACGCGTTAAAGTCCCGGCCCTAATTAATAGATTAATTAAAAAAGACCCAAGACCCATACAATTGCATGACACAACTTTCCCAGTATAGACAAAGTGAAAAAAAATCCGCGATCCTCAGTTCTGGTCTGGAAACTCTCATTTTTATATACGGAAATGTTGTCTAGCTCATGAGGTAAGGTCGTTGAATTTTGAAGCAGAAAGTACTTGGTTCAAATCCCAAGCAGTCACAAAAAGAAGCTACATAAATGAAACCATTCACCATGACATAACAAGTGTAACAACAGTTTACTTGATACTTACCAAGTGTTCATTGTATGTCCTTCTCCCCTTCAGTCAGGATTCAGACATAAACAAATCTATTTAAAGTCAGCAATTAAACCTTCCTTGTCATTGGATCAAATACTTTTCAAAACTGACACTGATCCAAACTTTGAGCAACCCTGCCTTAGAGCTTATGGGAAATGAATATGTGTCTTATGGAAAATGAATATGTGTATTAATACCATTAATACCAGGGTCTATGGTGTAGTTTTAGGTTTGTTTAAGCCACACAGTGAACATGGACGTTCTGTCCACTAAAGGGAAGAGCAGCTCAGGCCTGGTTTTGTTAAGACTGCTGTAAGTAAGTAGGATCTGGATGAGAAATGATAGAATAAATGATCCTGAAGCTGTCTGGCAGACAGGAGAAAGCCATTAGCAAGGCTCTGTTAGCGATCGTCTTGTAAACCGAGACCCCGGGCATTCATTAGGCATCAATCAAAGGATGAGGTGCAATGATTAAATGATGAGTGCAAATGCTTAACAGTGTTCGTACACCAGGCCACTTTACTCTGACACTTGAAAGTGGGGGAAAATGGATTGAAGAAAGACGATGTTAGTCTCTGTGTGGATGGCTGCAACTGGTAATTTATTCATGGAAGTTATTAAAGAAAGTGAATTTCAAAACCTTTAAGTCAAAGCTTGATGAGGACTATTGGAGCAAAGGGAATTCTTTCGCATTGTCTCCCAGTAATCATCGTTAAATTACACTCAATTTAGGTTTCCACAAACTTGTTCCTGATTCAAAGCTCAGAGCGTATATGAATGTAACACCAGAACCACGTTTGGGATCTAGTGTACCGGCATGACCGGTGTCTTCCAGCGTTTCATGGACCCTTTCTCCACCAGGGTTTCACCTGCAGCAAACAGAAAGACATGTTTAATCAAGAGGGACATATTCAGGACAATCACACTGAATTCAAATTGAAGCCACAATCAGCAATTAAAGACTGTTTGTATTGGAAATATCAGAAATACATTTAGTTAAAGAATTATAACCATTAACTAAAAAATAATAGGCATATTATAAAGTAATACTCTATACTAAAGCATTCAGCAGTTTGTTTTTCACAGTAGAAAACCTTGAATCAGCATCAGAAAACACTGTACAGTATTTGTCAGGACATCGCTGAGCTTATTTTAAACAAACGTACATGATATGCTGAAAAGTCGTCATTTACATCAAGACACACTTTTAAAGAAACCAATGTAACACTGTGCATCAACACCTATGTTAATGCTGCCATTGTATAGAGAGTCTGGGCACTTAACGTGTGTGTGTGTGTGTGTGTGTGTGTGTGTGTGTGTGTGTGTGTGTGTGTGTGTGTGTGTGTGTGTGTGTGTGTGTGTGTGTGTGTGTGTGTGTGTGTGTGTGTGTGTGTGTGTGTGTGTGTGTGTGTGTGTGTGTGTGTGTCCTGCTCTGAGCTCCAGTAGAGCTGACAGCTTGCTGTGACAGAGAGCCTTAAACAAACCCACCGGGTCGCTGTGCACAGGAGAAATGCCTTTGATTCTATTAGGCATGTGTGTGTGTGTGTGTGTGTGTGTGTGTGTGTGTGTGGCCTGTAGGCTTAGAGATGTCAGGCCTGATAGCCGCATGAAGATGTGAAGAACATCCTTACTGCTGTGTTTTATCGCCACACACACACTTTGATTCCTGCTCATTCCAGGTGTGTAAATGTAATGATCATCTCCATTCTTTATAATTTGTGTCATGGCTAACTTTATACTGAAAGGAACTTCAGTGTAGCTCAAGCTAGAAGTCCATAAGGTAACATTAAAGCATAGTAAAAGCTAGTGTAAAGCAAAGTATCACAGCAGGTGTTCAGTCAGTGTTTCCAGCATTGTCCCGCTCTAACAATACCTGCTACAGTTCTCTCTGGGGATTTCCAGTCAGACCACGCTGGATCAACACTGCTGTCTAACAGAGGAATCAGAAGCAGATCAACTTTAATTGAAGAGTTTTCTTTTTAAAAGCAAAAACTACCCCCAAATAGCTACCAGTATTAACTCTGTTCCAATTCGTATGGATGCCATTCATTGATCTGCATTAATTAGGCATGTCATGACATTTTTGTTGTTTACATTTAAGGATAAATGCAGGTAAACTGCAGACATTAAATTCAGATTTACTACTGTTTTCAATCTGCAAGTTTTTGTCTTCAACAATAAAAAAAATCACACGTCGTGTTTTCTCTTTGGACAGCCAATCAAATTGGTTCTTTTTAAGCCATATTTGGTTAAAGCCGTATCTGTTGTATCATAGACAGACAACACTAGCGCCCTCTTCATTATCCAGCTTCCAAACATGAACACACGCATCGTTTTGCTGCAAACAAACACCTCACAATAAACACTATACTTAGGTTATTTGGAGACGTATGAGAGGCCCTTATGTCTCGAGAGAGAGACACACTGAGAAACAATCAAACACACAGAGCTGTGATCCTTCTATCGAACAAAGCCAACACACAGACATCGACTCCAAAAGGTCACCACGTCCCAGACAGTAAATAAAACCATCCCTGAAATATGTTCTTCTAAGCTGTCAATTCAGGAATCTATTCACAACTTCCAGGAGTGAATTCAATAAGCCTTACAATGCGAAAAAAGTCCCTGCAAATATAATCACTAGATGAACTGCATTAGAAAATAAAGCAAAGTGTGTTCATGTGACAAGATATCAGTATTTGGTTAAAGGTGAAATGTTCTCTCATTAGATGTCTGATGTTCTGTGTGCGTGTGTTTCAGTGCTGGCTGCAGAGAGAGAGGAGATTGTCACACTGTGCGAGAAACAGATCATACAAGCCACTCAGCAGCACTATAGCCACCTGGTACAAGGAGAGGAGAATCCCGCCATGCCAGCGTGCCAGCAAGCGACTCGCTGAGAGGCAGAGAGGCAGAGAGGCAGAGCACCTGACAGATGCCACTCGGGGGAATAATCCCACAGGGCTGAAAAGATCCTCCACATGACGGGAAGCCAGTGGAGCAGACTGGAATACCAAACTGCAAATGAAATAAATACATTTTCCTTTTCACTCTGCTTTTATGCTGCATAGAGCCGGAGAATATCACATTTCTACAAGGTTCACTGACGATGTCAAATATAGACAATTCAACTAAATCTGCTCCCGTTTTGATTCATTTTCTATTGAGAATAAACGCTAAACATTCACTAGTTACAGATACTTTAATGTTTATAATATCTGTGTTTGTTTAGTGACTTAAATATGGCACCTTTAAGCTCTGTAAAATGTTGTAGGTTCAGTATTTATCACACAAACATTACATGTAAAATATGGTTGATGTGTGTTATTTTATATTATGGGTGTTGGTGGTTTTAGTAGACATTATTTTTTTTACAATTTAACAACATTGAATTCAACAAAGTATTATTTGTTTAAAAGCGTTATAGACTCAATTGCTACGCAGATCTCACCCTTTTTTTTAAATAATAATAACAGAAGAAGAATCCCGGGCCTTCTGCAGCAGGCCTGCAGCTCACTGTTCAATAGATTATTAAAATGTTACCATTACAAATCTATACTCCCAACATTTATTATAGGATTACAGTAGTTTTTCTAGGGGGGTTAAATCCCCTCTTTCTCTCGTGCTCTCCTGCAGCTTTAGTGAAACAAACAAAAGGGCTTTGAATGGCACGTGCTCCAGGCGTCAGTCATCTGTTTCCTAGCAACAGGCACAACAGAAAAGCACCTGTGGCTCTGAATGGGAGGCGGTGGAGCCCTTAGTTAGACAAAAAACAGGGGAAATTAAAACATATATACTGTAGCCTTTTTCTATTATACGCTATGGTTATGATGTAAAAGAGCCATTTTCCTCTTATAATGTATAAGTATAGGTATAGATTGCGATAATGAGCCATTTCTGTGTTTAACGTGGAGCTCTAAAAGTATAATTAACTGCAACATCATATTTTTTAATTAAGATATTGCGTGCATTTGACACTTTTGTCCATTTTGTTTCTGTAAGAGTGACGGTGCTCGGCTTACTTAGACTATGATGAATCATTATGTCATTTTAGGCTTCTTTATTTTTATTTAAATTTGAGGCTATTTTTATTAAATTTGCTGTTTTGCAAAGCTAATGTTGTTACTATTCAAGGTTTATTCGCTGAAACCTTATTTTGTTATAACTATATAGCCTATATATCATATCATATTTCACATGTGCTGAAATACACATCATTCTGTCATTTTAAACTTGCGTATTTTGATTTAAATTTGAAGCAATGTTTTTTATAAAATAGGCACATGTTTTCTGCTGTTTTGCAAAGCTTATGTTTTTACCATTAAAGCTTAATTTGCTGTTACTTTTTTAAAGATGTAAAATAGCCTATATGTTATATCATATTTGACATGTGATTAAATATATGAGTGTACAGAGCCTGCGTAAAATGACAGGAATTAAACTGTTTACATGTTCCGAGCCACACACACACACACACACACACACACCAGCTACACACACAAAACAGATGACAGAGGGAGTAATTTTTTTTTGGTCTCGCGCTCCGACGTCACCAGAACCTCGAGCCCCTGCATGCAAATCACGTCTCCTATCGCGCCTCTCCATTGGCCGTCCCTCGCTCATTTAGCTGCTCCGGTAACTTTTCCCAGTCGAGCTTCAACCAAAGTCAAACTGCAGGGTCTATTTTTCTCGGCTACAGCAGGAAAAAAAGAAGCGTAAAAGGGGAAGTGAGTTTTCCTCCGAGTGGATTCATTTTCTTTCACTCTTTATCTTTATCGGAGCTGCCTGAATGTTTCTGTGTGTTTGACTGTCCAACAAGACCAGGTGAATGTACAGCATCATGATGGAGACGGACTTACATTCCCCCATGGTCCCGCAGACCAACCCATCCAACCCGGGGGGAGGAGGAGGCAAAGTCCCGCAGGACAGAATCAAGAGACCCATGAACGCCTTCATGGTGTGGTCCCGGGGCCAGAGGAGGAAAATGGCCCAGGAGAACCCAAAAATGCACAACTCCGAGATCAGTAAGAGACTCGGCGCGGAGTGGAAAGTGATGACCGAGGCGGAGAAGAGGCCGTTTATTGACGAGGCGAAGCGGCTCCGGGCCATGCACATGAAGGAACACCCGGACTACAAGTACCGGCCGCGGAGGAAGACCAAGACGCTGCTGAAGAAGGACAAGTACTCTCTGGCCGGGGGGCTCCTCGGATCACACCCGGGGATAGGCATGGTGGGCGGCGGGCAGCGGCTGGATAGCCCCGGAGGAGGGGGTCACGGAGGTGGGAATGCCGGCTACGCGTCGCATGTGAACGGCTGGGCGAACGGTGCGTACTCGGGCCAGGTGGCGGCTGCAGCGGCTGCGGCGCACGCCATGATGCAGGAGGCGCAGCTGTACACACAACACCCGGGCTCCGGAGCTCACCATCACGCGCACCATCACCCGCACCACCATCACCCGCACAACCCGCACCGGTACGACATGAGCGCCTTGTCCTACAGCCCCATCTCAAACTCTCAGAGCTACATGAGCGCCTCCCCGCCGGGATACGGGGGGATCACCGGATACTCGCACCAGAGCTCCGGTGTGTCCCCGGTGCCTCTGGGCTCCCTGGTGAAATCTGAGCCCAGTGTGAGCCCTCCGGTGTCCACAGCGCGCCCACCGCAGCAGTGCCCCACCGGGGACCTGCGGGACATGATCAGCATGTACCTGCCCACCGGAGAGGCGGCGGGGGACTCCTCCGTTCACAGCAGACTGCACGTGCTCCACCCGCAGCACTACCAGAGCAGCGGCTCCACTCCGGTAAACGGGACAGTTCCTCTGACTCATATTTAAAATCTCTAAATGTTTAAGCACTACAAAACCACAACCAAATATTTAAAGATGTGGGCTGCTGCTGATGAATTGTAAATTATAGGGCGGTTATAGCCATAAAAATGCAATCACTTTGAACAAACTTTTTTTTATTGTTATTTTTCTTTCAGTGATGGATTTTTTGTCTGTCCGAAGCTAAAGGAAAGCTTTTGCTCTCTGGAACAGAGCATGCCAAGTTTTGACACGATTTAAATTATAATCCGTGAAGGCTGGTGCGTTTTGAAGGTTATTTTTTTCCCTAATTTTCTGTGGAATTAAAGGCACCAGCTGTGTGTTTGAGGGGAAACCTGTTTAAAGAAGGAACCGTATAATAAATGGAGGGCGGTGTGAGGAAGATGTGTTTAAAAAAAAAAGTTTCAAGGCTGCAATTTAAATTGATTTCCAGTTTTAATGCTTGTAAACATGTGAGTCAGTCGGTGTAATTTGAATTTGTTTTTGTTGTTGTAAAATCTTGTAAATTGTGAATAAATAGGCCTACTGAAAACACTTTTACGTAATTGTACATAATTTACTACGAAGCCTCTTTCTGGGTCGATTTTACGCGGAATTTAACGTTTCACCAAAAGCGTTAGACATTATGTTTTGCATGAGATTTAAAAAGCCTTAAGGAGACTGTATAACCGATATTTAATGTTTATTTCCATTGATTCCTATTCTAAAAATATATTTGGAAATGGTGACAAGCGTCTATATTGTTGAAATGAAGACGAGTTTAATGAATTCAAGGAAAACTGCCAACATCTGGTCAAAATGCAAATGGCAACTCAAAATAATAATTAAAACACTAGAGGTATGTTTATTCGGGATGATCTGGAAAAAAGGGCAATTTAACATCCAGACATTTAAACAAGTATTTCTCCTAGAATTAAAAATAAACAAAACATATATTCTGTTCTGCTATAATAGAAACATTTGTTTTCTGGTTGCCTTGTTATATTAGCTGGCATACATTTTTACGATATGCATCTTAATATAAATAAATGTTGGACATCCTTGTGAGTAATGTTTCAAATGAAGGTCTTTTAATTTGGAAATAGTTTATTTAAAACAATAATAATCAAAAAACAGGCCATTAAAGAGGCCTACATTTCTTCCGGAAATTGCTTTTACTGTAGGATTTAAGTTTTCTGTCCTAAGATTATGATTTTACGATACACTCTGTAATTGTAAAATGATGTTAGTCTTCTCTGCCAACACTTTAGATCTCCAAGATATCATAACATTTAGGATTCACATAGTTTGCAGGTGGATTATCTGACAGCCTGTAACTCAAAGGTTGGACTACAACACTTGTTGGATCACATATTAGCTTAAGAGTGGACTTATTTTCCAATTGTGTATAATTTAAAATTGTGCCACATGTTTTAAGACTCCCCGGCTTTAAAACTAAAATACATGTTAATGTTTATTATTTATCATTTCCAAAACAAACTAGCAGAAACAAAACAGGGACTTCATTCTAATAATTATATATACTTTTATATGTTGATTTCTTATTTAATATCTCCATTTTTATGTAGTGAAAATGTGTTTTCTTAAGCTAAACCCCTTTTCTCATAGCCGTGTTTAATTATGTATTGGTCTGCATCTAAATAGGATATTTACTATATAGAAATACAAATTAAATAATCAGTTTAATCCTAATTAACAGTTTTATTGTAGTCCTATCCACAAACTGACATTATGTTTCTATCTGTTAGTATAAACTTGCATTTTTTTTACCTGCCTCAGGGTCATGACCTCAGTAATCTAGATCTCAAGCAAAAGTAAATCCGACAACAAGAGTATCCGCTGAACAACTAATTCTTCAGTTTGGGTCACCCCCGCCTCCCCCTGGGTCTCTCAAATCTCACCCCTTTCCATCAAACGCCTGCCTCTGTGTGTGTGCACGGTTCTCCTGGTTGTTACATTATTTCCTTCTTTCAATTTGATGGCTGAATCACTGGAGGGCCCGGGGTAGTGAGAGTGGGATGAATGAGTGAGAGGAGAAAGGGGAGGAAGAAGAGGGGGGAGACGGAGGAGGTTTTTGTGTTGGAGGAGAATGGGGATTAGCCCGGGGGTCACCAGTAACAAAAAGCCCAGCAAACAACACCCCTGGTTTTATCAGACTAAGTCCCACTCGGGTCTGGACTTAAAAACAAGAGGGCAGGGTGGATGCAAATCACAAATAATAAAGCTGTCTCCCTGGACGTCAGCTGCTTCAACTGGAGGTATTTATCATCCCTGGGATTTCATTTAACTCAGATTGATTTAAATATCTTGGGTTTGTCTTTGCTCTTAAATCAGGATTGAAATGTGTAATCTTTAAAAAATAGTTCCAATTTCATAAAAGATGACTGGAAATGAAAGCCGGAAACAAATATGAGAATAGGTTTGATTTAAGAATAGTGCATACAGTATTTTCTGATTTGTGGAGGACACATTAAACCACCTGCATGTCACTGCTGAAGGATGGCTAAATATGAAATGGAAATTCTTGTGTTCTCATTCCTACACTTTATCGTAGCTCTAAAGCTAACTATGTACGGCCAGACTGAAAGGAAGTACAAAGATGTGTTATTCAGACTCCATGATATCCATCAAAAATGTTTGAAATACAATTTTTTTTAAAAAGGCAAGTTACTGTATCAGACTCAGAAAATGCTAAATGAGATTTCTTCATTTATAAACTTGAGTTTGTCTGGGATCACATTGAATTGATTAGATTTTGTGAAACAGAGAGCAAGGATACAAAAGGAAAACAAAGGATTTAGTCCAGTTAATTTCAAGATAAAGCATGTGGATGTATTTCTTAATACTGCTGCAGTCTCATCCATGATGTCTTTAATATACAACCAAACGTTGCCACAAAAAGATAAACAACTATCATGACTACCTCGAGGTATGTCAAGAGGAATTCCTCCTAATATCAAATGTTTGACAAAAATGATGAGGTGTGATGATTCAAAGGATCACATGTAGGTTTCTCTGAGGCTCAGGAAAGTAGAAATATAGAGGGTGCTTGCACCACTTTAAGAAAAGACACAGTGTTTGTTTTATAACGAATAAAGCTCAGTCTGGTCCACTTCCACCCAGCGGCTCCGTCACCGAGGAGCCATGTTTCTGGAAGTTTTCCTCCTCTCCTCATGTTCCCTTTGGCACATGCGCGGACACTGTAGCCCCCCCCCCCCTGTCCCGTGCTCCCGGTGTCCTAAACGTGGCTAATCGGCATCAGTTTATCACGCCTCCGCATACTTCCCTCCCTCTCCTCCTATAAAAACCCTCACCTCGACGTTGGACCCGGTTCTGTCATGGGAGATTACGGGGGACCGATTGCACAAGACCGAATGTGGCGCGAGGAGATTAGCCGGGACGCCATAGAAAATAGCAACGGGGCCAACGGATTCCTCGCGAGGGGGCCTTATCGTGCAATTACACGTTGACACGTTTTAACCATTTTTCAGCCTCTTAATCCGAGGGCCCCCTCCTCCCCCTTTCCCTCCCCCTTCTCTCTCCAAAAGCAGACCTATTGGTGCTGAGGGAGCGCCGCGGTCTGACTCTCTGCATCACTGTGCTTTCTGAAAAGTCATTTCCATCCTTTCCTCTCTTTATCAACCACTTTTAATGTTTCAAAAAGGGCTAAATGCCAAATAGTTCACAGTTTGTCTCTGTCTTTATCAAATACAAAAACGTTAAGAGCTGAATTAGGAACAAAGTAAATCGAGGTACATTTACAACTAAATTATTAAAAGGGAAAAAACGGATTAAAAGTTAAGCATGAGAGAAAATCTAAATGTTGAAAATAAACTTTTACAATTGCTCCAAGATAATAAGATTGACTCCAAATACAGTCGTGTTTTTTAACATTGAAACTAAATACGGTGCCAAATGTACTAGAAATCTACCTTCTTGTAAAGCCTTGAGTAACGACTGTCTGCAAAAGAACATTTTATTATATTTTCTGTCTGATTTAACCCAAATGACATCACATACTTTCATTAACAAATAGAAAAATGATGTTTTATGACCAAAACTGTTCATATATGTACATCTACGCCTCTATAGCAGCATAAGTCTTATTTGCAGAGTTGCAGCTGATATGAAAAAGTTCACCTTTACACCGCCTTGTGTTTTTTTTACGTCAGGCATCAAACGGACTGCATGGTGTGTTGTTCCACCATGCAGCTCAATTCAATTAGGGCCTTTCATGACAATCAATTAGGGAGTAACCCCTGGATCTCCCCGGGGGCCTATAATCATCACACACCGTCTGCTCAGAGAGTCTCTGGGGCCCCGCCCACCAGACGCACGAAGCCTCAACGTAACGGGGCCGCTGGGAGCCATGAGGACACAGTTTGTGTTTTATTTCTAGCCGTTTTACTTCAGATTATGAGCTTTTTTCCTCCTATTGGCTGCGTGTTGAATGCAGATTTCCCCCCTTTAAGTTGTGCTAGTCTGCACCGTTTCCCTGCAAAGAAAGGGTTTTACTGCCTGGGTTTTCTATGCTTTGGGTTTGGGATCATTGTAATTCACATGCAGAGCCTTGCTGACAACAACCACACTGATCAGAAACATATTTACTGATATATTTGGATATATTAACACCTTTACTGTACAGTAGGTCTGATACAAAACTAAACAGACAATATGGGCCGCAGTGCTGGGAAATAACTAAATGCATGTACTTAAGTACTCTACTATACACTATTGTGGTACTTGGACTTCCTTTGGCAAATATGTGTCAGAAAACCCTGATGATACTGTGTACTACACATTGATAATGAAAATAAACAGGTTGCATTTCGGTAAAGGCTGATTGGAGACTAAAAGAGTGGATTGTTTAGCCTCTGCTGTCTTTCTATCAATCTGTTTCTAATCCTCCTATTCCTACCATTTTGAATCAATGTAGTTATAAATAAGGGGACAAGCGTAATGGTTGAAACACAACATCAAAAAGTAATGATCCTATATCTATTAAACCAGACGTATCTCTTAATATCCAACAAGTTAATGTAATGAGTGCTTACAGTTAAGATGTAATAATGAGCCAGTAACTTCTACTACTCTTGTATCTTCCATTGATCAGTTATGTTAAGTTAAAAAGTACACGTAGTTCTCTGGAGCTGTCCAGGTGCTGAAATGAACCAACTGCACCAAGAGTTATGGACTTCACATAATGTCATTTACCATATTACAAGAAGTATAATGTATTAATTGTCCCTCATCTTTGAAATGCTGAAGTTATAAGGAGGTCCGTGACATATAATACAAAATCAAGCAAAGCACAGAGAAGTCATATTCCTGGCTGGCTACAGTAGGACACTATGAACCCCTGTTTATTATTAAAAACAAAATGAATTCCTCCAAAGAAATGGAGCAAGCGTTCTGCCAGCAGGAGAAAAACTAACATTGGACGATGCAGGAAGAGCGTTCTACTTTTAAACCAATTATAAATGCAAGAGCAAAAGTGAGGTCTCCTCAAGCCAATTACCTCAAACACCACGGTG